TAATAATAAAATATAACATTGTTATTATACATTATAAAAACTCAAGCAAGTTCTTTTCTCTCTCTCTCTCTCTCTTTTGGCAGTATGCAATTAAACTCAGGGGTGTTCTATCACTAAGCTGTATTCCCAGTCCTTTTTATTTTTAATTTTGACATGGCCTCAAAAAGTTACTCAAGCTGGGCTAGGGGTTTAGTTCAGTGGTTCTGCCACCTGCTTTGCAAGTGCAAAACCTGAATTTGATCCCTGGTACAAAAAAAAAAAAAAAAGATGCTCAAGCTGATTTTGAAACTGATCCTCTGTCTCAGCCTCCTGAGTAGCTGTAATTACAGGTGAGTGCCCCTGCACCTACCTCAAGCAAGTTCTTGTTACATATTATCTCAGTACCTAAATGATCAAATCATTATATTGATACATTAATGATGTTAGATACATCATTATAAAATAACTGCTAGGCTAAATAGGCAGCAACTTCTCATCCCCAATAAATTGAAGAGGTAAGATCTTACAACAGACTCGATACACAAAAGCCAGCTATACCCAAAACATCTCTGAGAAGTAGTCATTTCCTAAAGGTTCTAATACTTGCAATAAAGACAACTGCCATAAGCAATTGACAAGCATCACCCAGTAATTAAACTTTAATAAAATAGAAAATAAGACATTTAAGCAAGATTCAACCTCAGACTTCCACTTCATCAAAGGCAAACCCAGGAAGCAATGAAGTGAAACAATTCAAAATCCACCTAGCTGGACTCTCTGAAGTGGTAACAGAAGTAACATAGAGCTGGGGATTTGGCTCATTGGTTCTGCTGCCTGCCCTGCAAGCACAAAGGCCCAAGTTCGATCTCTGGTACCAAAAGAAAAGAAAGAAACAGTAGAAGTGACGAAACAGATGAATGAGACACTAGAAAAAGTCAAGTCAGAAATAATTTTCCAGATAACTAAAGAGATTGTGACCATAATGAAAGACATGGTTAGTGACTCTAGAGCAGATGCAGATTTAAAATACTAGAGGAGCTTAGGAAAATGTGGGAATCATGAACACCCAACATAGAAAAGAAATGGTATCCATAAAACAAATTCTAACAAATATCCAGGAGATTAAAAATTGCATTAATTCTGCTGTGTATGCAGCAGAATGAGCCAACATGAGGACAGCTATCACTGATAAAGAAAACCAGATTGCAGTTAGTGATCATGAAAGGAAAGATTTCTTACAAATAGCAAGGGACCACAAAAAAATCAATCCAATAGCTGTTAAATGATACAAAAAGAATAACATACATAAGATTGATCAGTCAATGAAAAACAGGAGATAGCACAAACAACATAAAAAAACTATTCACAGAAATAATGACAGCAAACTTCCCTAGCATGGAAAAAAAAATTTTTTTTTTTTGTACTTGGGATCGAACTTGGTCCTTGTGCTTGTGAGGCAGGCAGCAGAACTACTGAGCTAAATCCCTGGCCCATGGAAAAAGAATTTGACATATTGTAGGAAGAAAAGGGCTAAAAGTATAGGGGAAGTGGGAAGAGTAGGGGAAAGGAAATAAGGGAAAAGAAAAGATACAGGAAAAGGAAAAAATGGAAACAAAGTCTTTGTAAATAGGGGACGGGGGAGGAGTGAAGGCAGGGCAGGGGTATGGGGAAAAAATGAGAACCAAGATCTGTTACATAAGGTACAAGATCCCAATGATGAATGTAACCGTACTGTATACTTAAAAAAGTACCAATAAACTCAGTAAAAAAATAAAGAATTTGACATATAGGGCTGGGGATTTAACTCAGTGGTTCCACTGCCTGCCTTGAAAGCACAGGACCTGTTCGATCCCCAGTACCAAAAAAAAAAAAAAAGAATTTGACATACAGATAAGCAAGGCATGTAGAACTCCAATTAGTCATGATTAAAAAAAAAATCTACACCAAGGCATATGATAGTCAAGACTGCAGAAATTCAACACAAGAACAGAATATTAAAAGCTATTAGAGAAAAGAAACAAATCACATACAGAGGAAACCCCATCAGAATCACAGGGAACTTCTCAACACAGACCTTCAAGTCCAGAGGAGCTTGAAGTGAACAATTTCAAGCCCTAAAAGAAAACAATCTCTAACCCAGATTAATGTACCCCACAAAACTATCTTTCAAAATTAATGGAAAAATAAGATACTTCCATGACAAAGAGCACCTGAAGAAACTCATGACCATTAAACCAGCACTCCAAAGTGTTCTGAAGGATATAATGTTCTGAAGGAGATAATGAGGACTACAACTCCATGAACTCCAACAGAATAAATCCACTAAGCAAGGCAAGTAATTAAACGGGGTTGGGGGGGAGAACCAACAACAGGAAAACACGACAAGGGTAAATTAATACATAACTGTTGTAACCATCAGTGGTCTCAATTCACCAATCAAAAGAAACAGATTGGCAGAATGGATCAAGAAGAAAGATCGAACAATATGCTGTATACAAGCAACAATTTAATTCAAAAAGAATACTTGACCAAAAGTCAAAGGATGGAAAACAATAGTCCATGTGACAAGAACTCAGAAAAAAGCAGAGGTAGCTATTCTATTTGCAGACAAAGTGGATTTCAAGCCAAGACTAATTAGATACATCGTTTTATCCTAGGACCAGAAGTGACCCTGGAGTTTCTCTAACTCTGTTCCTTATATTCTTTGGGACTGTATAAAATTACTAGGTCTGATATTTTACAGAAAATTTAATCTTCATACAAAATATCCAAATAAGTCATATCAGTAAACATGCAATGATTTAGAAAGTGCAATTCTTCAAACACAACAATACACTTATCAACTTCTATTGTCAATGAATGATGAAAATTACAACTCAAATGTTCTACTTTTTTCCTGAACTTTTTTACTGAACTGAAGACATGTGATAAATTTTTACAAATATGCACAAGTATAAAGCTCTCCCCAAGAACAATATTACATTGTGTATAACTCAGGTGCCTCCCTCAGCCTCTTTTTAATGAATTTCCACCCCTACCTCTACCAAAAATAACCAGGATTCTGACTTCTTTCTCCATAAATTACTTTTTCCTGTTTTAGCCAGGTGCATTGCTACAATCCCAGCACTCAGGAGGCTGTGGCAAATGAGTTTGAGGCCAGCCTCAGCTACATAGTGAGTTCTAGGATAGGCTGGACTAAATAGTGAGAACTTATCTCAAAAAACAGTAACAAAAAAATTCTTGTTCTTGAATTTCATATAAATGAGATTATATACTTTGTCCTCTTTTGTGTCTATTTTTTAAAATGTGGTACTATGGATTGAACCCAGGCCCTTTGTA